AGAGTTATTCCTTTATGTCTACAAGTACCAGGTATTCTCACATCTTTAAGGCCTCCTTTGACCACTTTATAAAATAACCACCCCTTTCAGAACTCTTTGTCTTAGACACTTTGCTTTATTTTTCTTCACAGCAACTATCACCATTAAACATACTGTATACTTATTTTATTTGTCTTTTACATTTGTTATATATCCTTTCAAAGTCAAGACTTTGTGAGGTCAAACTTTTTTTATACTTTGCAATATCCCAAGCACTTAGAATATTCCTTGACACATAATAAGTGTTGAAACACACCACATTAATCTAAATTAATTAATATAAGTACTCTTTGACATGCTTGATATCTGTGGTGAAGAATATATGTCAGAAAAACTTGATACCTTGATTAATTTGGAGGTTTAACCATATGTTTATTTTTCTTTCCATCAACATCAAACATTCCCTTGAAATGAACAAGCATGGTTTTGCTGGAGCATAAAATAGAGACCGTTATCAGTCTTTTTTTTCAGGAATTCTAGGAAAATTGAGAGGCCATGGATCAACTAAATTAATAAACTGAGACAGAGAAAACCACAGCTTAAAATGTATACAACATAAGGCTTTGACTTTGGAAAAAGCAGTTCTTCCCCTTTTGAATTCTTGGAGAATTTCTAAGCTCACAGTGAAACTTATGAGAATGGGTCACTGGGCATGCATTGGAAAAACTAATTTTAAAACTCCAGCAAAAATATTTGGGATAAGGATTTTAGAAAGGGTCTTAGTGTGGGCAAGAATGCTAGAGGGAAAATCAGAGAAAATACAGGGATAATGTCAAACCTATGCAAGGAAAACTGAGAGAAGAAAAAGAAAGAACCAACTCTTGTGGGAACTAATAAAGCAAAAACTCACTCATTACCCACCCCTGAGGGAGAGCATTAATCCAGTCATAAAGGATCTGCCCCCATGTCTCAAACTGCTCCCAACATTGCCATGTTGGGGATCAGATTTCCACATGAGTTTTGGGAGGACAACACATTTAAACTCTATCAACCATAACAGTTGGTTTTAAGAAATTGAATCGCACCACACAAACCATGATTTTTTTTTTTTTTTTCAAATGTGAAGATTTGGGGAAAATGACCGAGTGATTCTAATGTAACCTAGTTTCCCCTTTCCCTTGCTCCTCTCTCTCTCAGAAAAGCTCCATCATGATAGTTTTATTTCCCTAACACGTCTTAAATTAGTTGTGACAAAACACTTTCTTCAACTCATTATAGGTTCATAGCTATTTTAAATAATATTATACCCATAAAATTTTCCTCCTTTCCAGAAAAATTCTAACTTTAGTTTCAGATAAATTAATCATTGCTTTCTGTACTCTAATTTTCTTAATGACTATAATAATTGGTTGTATTGTTTGAATACGTAAATGGAAAGGATAGAAAGATAGCATAAGTACTGTATATATCAATTGACTGATAGAAATGAACAACTAATATGATCAGGTAATTTTTTTTTTCGCCCTCAGTGTTACTCTGATGTTCTTTTGCAGGACGCACATTCAATTGAGAAAAATAACAACCTTTCATAGCAAAGATATAATATTTATTAACACAGCATAAATACAAAGTATACAAACTGTTATTATTTTTACTTTAAATAATGGCAGGGGAAAAAGGACAATACATTTGATGAACTGAAAAACACATTGGTTATTAGATGCCTACATACATATCAGTCACAAAAGAACCATTTGTTATTTCTGCCCCACACTACCAAAAGAAAAAGTACCTCGGCTTAATGGCATAAAAATTGCTCCTTCATTGTCTGCAAAGGTTGAATATTTCATTTATGTTTACTTCTTTTTTCAGTAGGGATAAATTTCAAGTTGTTATATTTTTATATTTATTAAAATAAAGTTAACAACTCTGTTATTTTAAAGACTACATATTTCATTTATGTTTACTTCTTATTTCAGTAGGGATAAATTCCAAGTTGTTATATTTTTATATTTATTAAAATAAAGTTAACAACTCTGTTATTTTAAAGACTATGAAGAATTTGAACTACAAATGTAGTTGTCTATGATAACATTTCTTGATCAGTTTATTTCTTTTTTTTTTAATTCAGGTTACTTAACTATTCCTACTAAATAGGTTAGGATTTTTAGAGACATTGTATTTTGCTTCCCTTCAGAATTTGCATTATTTGTATTATTTATTGTTGCTTTGCTTGGCTGCCAATGTAAAACATAAAACAAAATGTAGTATTCTATTCAAAGTTATCATTGGCTTGCAGTGAACATATATATGCCTTAGTATGTTAATAAATCTAAAATGGAAGGATGTATCACTCACCTTTGCATTTAATCTCTAGTAATTCCGTGCCCTGCACTCAACCTCTCCTCAACCTAAATATAACATTTTGAGCAGGAAGCCAGCTTTCTCCAACATGTGTGCATTGTCCAAAGCCCTATTCAGGCCAAGAGGATTAAAAGAGTAAATTTTGTTTCCAATACCTAGGAGTTCACAGATATGGCAAGATTTGTCAGCACACTATCAGAGTTACCTTTTATTGCCACTATGGTATGCCTAATGACAATGTGTTGAACACAATCTGACAAAAGCTTTTCAAATGTGAAGTTAAACACCTGTTAATTGAAGTCCTATAAAAGTTGCAGTTGGGTCCCCAAGTGTGGGCATTAATATAACTACTTTATTAATTCTATTCACGTGATCTTATCAGGGTGAAGACCAGGGGGAGGCAAATGACTTACCTAGGGCACAAAGTTGAAGGAGACACTCACTGTCACATTCTTTTAAGTGCCAAACCTGCACTTACACAACTCTGCTGTTGATACACAATATGAGAATATCAACAAATGGGTATGGCCAGAAAGCAAGTCTCAATAAATCTAAAGGAATTAAAATCATACAATACATGTTCTTTAACCTTATCAGAATTAAATTAGAAATCTACAACAGAAACATTTTGAAAAGTCCCCAAATATTTGTAAATTAAATTAAAGTTTCTAACTTAACCTAAAAGTCAAAGAAGAAAAGATTACAATGGAATATACACACATGTGATATATACACAATATCAAAATTTATTAAATGTAGCTAAAACAATCCTTAGAGGAAAGTTAATAGTTCTGAATTTCTTCATTAGAAAAGGAAAATGTTTTCAAATCAATATTCTAAGCTTTTACCATAAACTACTCAAAAAAGAAGGGCAAACTAAATCCAAAGCAAGCAACGGGAAGAAAATGGTAAGATTGGAACAGAAACTATCAAAATTTCTTAGAAATAAATCGATGAAATACAAAATTGTTTTCTGAGAAAAATAAATTGACATATCTTTAGTTGAATTGACCAAGAAATAAAATGGAAGACAAAAATTAACAAAATCAGCATTGAAAGTGGGAACATCATTAATAACCATTTAATATTTAAAGGATTATAGGGAAATACTTCAAACAATATTATGCCATCAAATCTGACCACTTTAATAAAATGAATGAATTCCTATGTAGATACAAATTAGTATTATTGTCTCAAGAAGAAATAAAATTTATATAGGCCAACCAAATATTTAAGAGATCAGTTTCAATCCTTACAGACTTTTCCAAAATAAAATAAAGTAAAAGAGAAGGAAACACCTCTGAACTCATTTTATGAGGCCAGTATTACCTTCATACCGAAACTAGGCAAAAATGCCACAAAAAAACAAAATTAAAAACCAAAATCAATTATGAGTGTGGGTAGAAAATCGACAACAAAATATGAGCAAACCAAATCCAGTAATATATAAAAAGATTCTTATACCCTGATAAAATGGGATTTTTCTCAGGAATGCAATATTGGTTTAACATCTGAAAATTAATTAATATAATACACCATATTAATATAATAAAAGAAAATCCATATAATCATCTCAATAGATGCAGAAAAAGCATATCACAAAATCCAACATCCATTCATCATAAAAACTCTCAAAAAATAAGAAATAGAAACAAACTGCCTTAATTGATAAAAACATCTATGACAAATGTCCAGTTAATATCATACTATAATATCATACTAATGGTGTCAAACTGGAAGCTATTCCCCTAAGAATGGGAACAAGTCAATGACATCTACTTTCACCATTTCTGTTTAATGTTGTACAGGAGGTTCTAGACTGTCTGCTAGGGCATCAGAAAAAAAAAAAACATACAAGATGTAAGGACATACAGATCAAACTGGAAGAAGTAAAACTATTTTTATTCATAGATGGCATGCTCTCATCTGTGAAAAATCCTAAAGAATCCAAAAAAAGAATTACCAGATCTAGTAATTGAGTTTATAAAATTTGCAGAGTACAAGATAATTTACAAACATCATTTGTGTTTATGTATGCTAACAACAAAATTCCAAAAATAAAGTTAAGGAAAAGAGCAGGGGCAGGGGGTTAGTAAGAAATTGGTTAATGAACACAAAGAATGATTATGGTTCTTAATGACAAACATGCTAATTATCCTGACTAAATTATGACATATGTACATAAGTATTGATAGTCAACTCTGCACCCTATAACTATGTATAACCAATTATAATTCAATAAAAATAATAGAATTAAGAAAACAATTCCTTTACAATAGCATCAAAGCTAAAAAAGGCTTAGGTTTGAATTTAACAAATTAAATGCAATACTTTAACTAAAAACTATACAACATTGTTGAGAGAAATGAAATAACATTTAAAGAAATGGAGAGACTTTCCATATTTTTTTATTGGAATTCAATATTGTTAAGATGGCAGTTCTTTAGTTCATTTACTGATTCAATGAAATCCCTCTCAAAGTGTGGCAGGCTTTTGTGTAGAAATTGACAATCTCATTAAAAAGTTATATGGAACTGCAAGGAACCAATACAGTAGCCAAAATTTTGGGGGGAGGAAAAAAGAAAAAATGTTGGATGACTGCCCAATTTTAAAACTTACTCTCTAAGTTTATTTTTCCAGGCCATCTGTTATTGCACATGGAAAATTATATAGATCAGAGGGGGAGAATTGAAAGGACAGATATCAACTTTTACACTTGCGGTCAGTCAATTTTCAACAATAGTGAAAAAGGTAATTAAATAGGAAAAGACAGTCTTAAAAAATGTGTGGAGACAATTGTGTATCCATATGCAAAAAAATATAAAATAACTAGATCATTATCTACACAATATAGAAGAGTTAACCCAAATGGATAAGAGATCCAAGTGTAAGAGTTAAATTTATGTAATTTCTAATAAAACATGAGAATATCTTTATGAGCCTGGGTTAGGCAAACAGTTTTTAGATTGACCTCAAAAGCATGACATATAAAAGAAAACAATGACAGATTGAATGTAATCAAATAAAAGAAAAAAATGATAAATTGGACTTAATCAAATTAAAACTTTTACTATCTAAATGTCAACAAGTGGGAATGTGATTAAGAAAAGGTAGGACAAGGAAAAAAATATTTTCAGTCACATATATCATAAAGGACTTTTATCCAGAATATATAAAGAACCCACTCAACAAATCCACTCAAGAATAAGAAAGTAGATAACACAATTTAAAAATAGTCAAAGGATTTGATTAAATATTTCATTTGAGAAGATATATGAAGGGCTAATAAATATATGAGAATATGCTCAAAATCATTAGTTATTAGGAAAATGTAAATTGAAACCACAGTGATATAACCATTTCACACCCACTGGAGTAGATATAATAAAGAAGGTAGACAATATCAAATGTTGGCAGTAATGTGGAGAAACAAGAAATCTCATACATGGCTGGTGGGAAAGTAAAATGGCACAGCTACCTTGGAAAATAATTTGGCAGTTTCTTAAAAAGCTAAACATACATTTACCTCAGCAATTCCATATCAATGAATCTGTTCAAAAGATATAAAAATATATATCCACTCAAATAGTTGTGTGTGAATTCCTTACTTATACGAGCCAATCCAAACATCAACCAACTGATGAATGGATAACAAAATGTTGTATATATTATGAATTACTCTAGCAATATAAAGTAGCAAGTACTGATACATGATACATGACACAACATAAAAAATCCTGAGAAACATGTTAAGCAAAAAAAAAAAAAAAAGGCAGTCACAAAAGACCACATATGTCCCATTCCATTCATATGAAAAGACCAGAAAAGGCAAATGTGTAGAGACAGATTAATGGTTGCCTGAGAGTGGGATTGGGAACAAACACTGACTACAAAAGAACTCTTCTCTGGGTAATAGAAATGTGCTAAAACTGGACTGTGGTGGTACTTGAATAGATCTACACATTTTCAAAGGTTACTGAATTATGTAGATTTGCAATGGCTGGGTTATTTTATATGTAAATTATTCTGCAATAAACCTGTTAAAGAAAAATATTCCATGAGCTCCAGAGATGTTTTATGAGTTTTCCTACATATTAATGTTCATATTTTTTTCCTTTCTTCTGTCCTTCTATTTTTCTTTCTCTCTTTCTCTTTTGTGTGATTTTTTAAGATTCGTTCTGTGAAGAGCCAACGAAACCCTGCATTTCTCAGTCTTGTTGGAAAAGGCAAATTTGCCAAAATAACAGCTCTGCTTACATTTGTGAATGCCTAGAAGGATTTCTCTGTCAAAATTGTGAAACTGATGCCATTGAGTGTTTACCAATACTTTGTCAGAATGGCTCTGACAGCATCAACATAACAAATGTAAGTCGATCTAACATACTAGTAAGTCTTTTAAAAATATTTTTTACTTTTACAAAACAATTTAAGAAGTATAAATAATTAAAGTTCTTATTAAGGTATTATAATCTTCAATCTCATGAAAATCGGATAAGTTACTTTACTTGCCTCCCTCCCCCCGCCCCATCTATTTAGAAACTCTGACTTTAAAAACAATGTTCAATTTTATTTTTGGCTCTACCACCAGTATTCTCTTACGGGAACAACATAACTTTGTACACTTTTCATTTTTATTTACTGTTTCTTAATTTTTTCTTATTCTTTTAATTATTTAATATTATTACTTTTTAACTTTTTAATTTAACATTTAAATAAATAAGACTAGAAAATAATTTAACCATTTCCACAAGTCACTATCTTTTCATTTTACTAAGATTTATATTTGTCCCTAACTCTTTAAATAACTTTGAGTTTATTTTATTTTCTCAACCCCATAAAACTTTTTCATTTCTAACTCTTTTATTTATTTATTTATTTTTTCCTGGAGAAGTGTCAATTTTATTAAGACATTTGGTTAACTATTGCTGGGAAAACTTAATTTAATTATACAGAATATGTAATATCCAGGTTAAAGCCTATTATAGATTATTTTTTAATTCACATGAATTTCTTCTTCAACACCCAAGGATTTGCTATTAATCTACAATATAGTAGCCCTTGACACTAGGAGTTAATAGCAGAAAGTGCAATAAACATGCTTCTAACAATCAAGGCAATTATAGTAGCTTTAAGCAGACTAAGCAGTCCTCCCCTGAAATAAAGATGTCCATGCCCTAATTCTGGGAATGTGTGCATACATTGTTACACAGCTAGAGGAAATTAAGATTGTAGATGGAATCAAGGCTGGCAATTACTGAAGTTTTCCTGGATTATCTGTATATGCCCAATTTAATCACCAGGGTCCTTTAACATGGAAGAGGGAGGCAGAAGAGCCAGAGTCAGTGAGAGGTTTGATGATGCTGTGATGCTGCTTTTGAAGATGAGGGAAGGGACCATAAACCAAGGATGAAGGCAGCGTCTAGAGTCTGGAAGCATCAAGGAAGCACTGTCAGACTTTCTCCCCTTGAGCCTCCAGAAGAAATACAGCTGGCATCTCAATTTTAGGCCACTGAAACTCTTTTCAGATTTATGGCCTCTGGAACTCTAAGATAATAAATTTTTGTTGCTTTAAGCCACTAATTTTGCAATAATTTGTTACATAAATAGAAAATTGCCCTATAAATAGAAAAATACAATAGTTTTTCAAGAATTATTAATAAGATCACTTAAAAAAATTTGTTTCTAAAGCTGAGAATATTAAACAACTATACAAACTGTCTACCTTTATAACTTATGAGTATCTTAATATGAGAAGTGATCTTTCATGGATATACATTTAACTATTAATTCATAAAAGTACTTTAACACTATTTTACTTATTTCTGTGTTATTAATTATTAAGTTTGAATGACCAATTTTGTAGATGAATAATTTGGAATTTCCTTTTGTCATTTCCACTATCACCACGTATGACCTTAGGCCAGCTCCGTACCTGTTTCATCTTTAGTTTTGTCTTAGATATTTGACTGAGTTTCATGAGGAAGCAACAAAATCATCCATTTTAAGTACACGGGCTTTTTCACGTTGGAATCACTTAATACACAGTGTTTTTAGAATAAAAATGATGAAATGATGATGATGGTGATAATAATAATGAAGGAAAAAGAGAGGAAGAATTAGGTAGGATAAGAAGAGAAAGAAATATCATTAGTGTCTGTTCAGATTGCAGGTGAAATTAACTTGTAAGTCTAATTTCATGTTTGTTTTCACCTACCCATAGCTCATGGACTTATTGCTTGTTTCAATCTTCTGTTTTCTATGTATGATCACCCCAATACTTGGTGGCTTAAAACAATTATTTTATTGTCTCTTATGGCTCTGTGAGTTGACTATCTTAGGAGGTGGTGTCTTAAAAAGTTTCAGTCAGAAAGTATCTGGGGATGAAGTATATTTTATTCACATGTTTGGTGGTTAATGTTAGCTGTCAGCTGGGCTCCCAACTATAATCCTAAACATGACTTCTCTATGTTTCAGAGAATGGTGGCTGGGTTCCAAGAGCAAATGACCAAAGATAATTAGATGTTATACAGCCTTGTGACACTAACATTGGAAGTCACATGGCATCATTATCTCCACAGTCACAAGCTTGCTTGCATTTCAAAGAGAAGGGATATAATCTGCAACTCTGTATTAGGGGAGTGTTGATTTCACATAATAGGAAAATGTGTAAGATGGGAGATACTGTTGTGACATTTTTGAAGATAGAATCTTCCACATTGCTGTGCAGAGAACTTCTATTACATGTTTATGAAAATAATTTCCACTCCTCTCCAGGTTAAAAAACCTTTCTATTATCTTTAAATATCCAAAAATCTTTGTGAAAATAATTTGTAATCTTTCCTAGAATGTGACTTCTATTACATGTTTATGAAAATAATTTCCACTCCTCTCCAGGTTAAAAAACCTTTCCATTATCTTTAAATATCCAAAAATCTTTGTGAAAATAATTTGTAATCTTTCCTAGAATGTGACGTGCAACTGTTCAACAATATTTACTGGCAAGTTTTGTAAGAAAATTCAAACATCATATGAGTCATTTCCTTGGAAGAATATTGCCATGTGTATGAAATGTGAGAAAGATTATCATTGCAGGTATGATTAATTCCCCAAGTTTATTTTTTAACATAAAATGCACAGATTTTAAAGTCATGAGGACAAAAATAAAATAATATTTTGAAGTTTAACCTTCATTTAATGGCATATTATATTCTAATTCAAGTTCAAGTATAATTGTGTGTGTGTGTAATTTGGGTTATTTGTTGTTGTATTCCTTTTAGATAAATAATTGAGAAATTTTCATATATAATTTTACTGTACAATTATAAATAAATATTTCATTTTATAATGGAGGTTTAAAGATATCAGAATAATTGAAGTTCTAGAAAGAAAGAAGAAAGGTAAGTCCTAGTATTATTTCTATTATACTCATACACATATGATAGTAAAATATTTTGAAAGGATACAATAACCATCTCTTCTTAGAACTCATAGATCTCAGTTCATAGTTTTTAGGTAGGGTCTTTACATAGAATTTTAGAAAATAGTGCTTTCTTTTATTAGGAATTTGCTAAAATTTACTCTTTTGTAAATGACAAAAGTGATCCAGAAATCTGGGCACATAATTTCGGTTCATTTTAAATAGCTTTATAGATATTTTCTCACACCATTAAGAAATACAATTTGTACTCTTGACTTTTATATACACATGCTTGGCTTTTATATACTTCTTAAAGTAAGTTCTGTTGGGCACTACTGAAGAGCAATATAGAGCCTCAAAATTTTAGGATATTCATAAAGCCAAAAAAAAAAAAGCTGGGGTACAGGATAGCCTTAAAACACACCAAAAAGAAACAATGAATATGTATATATATCACATATGTACAATGAACAGTATTTTCATCAATTTTGTAGGAATTCAAATTCAAAGTTTTAAAAACATATTAAGCTTTTGAAATATGACTTTTCAAAAGAAAATAAAGAGAATCCTCATTATTATATCAAGATCCTGGAAAATCTAAACCACACAGTCAAATTTGTACAGGGATTCAATCATATTAATAAACCCAATTGTTATTCTTTTAAAAATATTGACTTTGTAATTTACAGTTATTAGTTCTGTGCCTTGTAGTGCTAACACATTTGTGAATCTATTTAGAAAAGTGATCAACTTTGAAAACTATGGATACCATTATGTAGATATGACTAAATATATACTCACCCGTAAGTATTCATTTTTATTTTTAAAAAATTATTTATTTACTTATTTATTTTCTGACTGGTGAGGGGATCATAACCCTTGGCTCGGCGTCCACACCACACTCAGCCAGTGAGTGCACCGACCATCTCTATATAGAATCCGAACCCATGACCTTGGTGCTACCAAGCACCACACTCACCTGAGTGAGCCACGGGGCCGATCCAAGTATTTATCGCACCGGCCATCTCTATATAGGATCCGAACCCGTGGCCTTGGTGCTACCAAGCACCACACTCACCTGAGTGAGCCACGGGGCCGATCCAAGTATTTATTTTTATATTTATTTTTCACTAAATATGAAGCTTCTATTAGGCATTATTATTAACATTATTCTGATTGTCTAGAAGGTTTTTTTTTTTTAATTAATCATCTAGAGAAAAACTAAATAACTAAATACCATCCCTCAGTTTATTCAATTTTAAAATAATGGAGTTTGAGGTAGAATGTTCTGGTAGTATGTTTCAGTTAGAATTTAAGTAAGGTTTTCCTAGGAATAATGAAATGCGCTAAATAGGTAGTTAGTTGTAACAACTTTAAAGTAAACTTTGAAATTGATTTGAGCCACTACATGTGTTTTAAGATTGTCCACATTCTTTAAGAATTTGAAATACGTGTGGTCATCTCAAACCCAACTAAAAATGTTGTTCTCTCTTTTGGTTAAATTAGACTCCTGATTAATAGAGGGTAAAATATAAGAAACGTGACAGGAAGATGAAAACAAAACTGCTTCATCAAGGCAAAAATAAGATATATTTTGAATGATAAGTGAAAATCAAAACCTCAGAAATCAATGAGTGATAAAAATTTGAAATACAGATGCAGAATTCCCAACTCAACCCTCTTTCCTCAAATTCACCACTGACAGTCTAAAAGATTGCTAACTCGGACTCAGCTGAAGTAACAAAGATATAATATAAATTTTAAAATATATGAAGTTAAGATGATGACAGAAAATTATTCTCAAAACCTATTTTTTTCCTCATAGAAGATGAAGAGAATTGTTAAAAATAATAAGGAAAATAAAAACTCCTTAACTTGAAAGCTTTTAAATTAAGAATGTCTTTGTGTGTTGCTAACTTTAAAAGGATGTTTCTCTACATCAATGATTCTAAAACTTGAACTGAATTAGAACTTTTTGAAGGGCTGGTTAAATCACACATAATTGAATCAACATAGTTGTTCCTTGTGTCTAGTGCTTCCAATTCAACAATTCTGGAATGAGGACTGAAAATGTATACTTGTAACAAATTCTCAAGTGACGCTGATGATGCTGACCTGAAGACCACACTTTGAGAATTACAGGTCAGGATGAACTGAGCTCAGACAGCATCAATGCAAAAATTTTCTTGTATCTTTTCACCTAGGTTACCTACCCACCTCCCCCCAAGCTTTCACTTTTCTTGTTTCTGAACCCAAGTTTGGCCGCCCTCAAAAACAAATAAAAAATAAAATAAATAAAAATAAAAACAGAAACAAAAGGCTTGAAAGTCAAATGGTGAAAAGGAAAGACAGCTTTATTCAGGAACACTGTTAACCTGAAGATATGTTAGGCTAACCCATTCAAAGGTTCAGATTTACCAAGGAATTTTTAAGAAAGAGTTTGAGAGAATGGAATGTGGGAAAATTTAGTAGGAGTCAGCTTCTTTGCATGGTCTTTGCAGAGCTCTAGCTGGCTGTTATCTTGCAGCTGATTATGATTCCTTGCTGGAAGTTATGGTCAGCCTCCAGACATCTGTTCTCAGAACTCTGCAAGACTCAAAGAAAAAATGTTAGTTTTGCAAGGTATTTTCTACTTAGCAAGCAAGATAAGGAGGTTAAGGGATGGGAAGAAAGAAAGGAGGAAAAACAACTGTGTCTTTTAAAATTTTCTATAGCCCAGATATTTGAAGTCCCAACATGGCTTCAATCTTGTTCACTCTGACATGCTTTTCTGAATCTGAGAAAATGTGCCATGTTGAAGAAGGAGTCAAATGAAGAAAGAATAACAGAATGATAACCATGGTATCAGTTTTCCTGTCTGAATATATGGCCTAGATCTAAGTTTCTATAGTTAAATGAAAGAGGAATTGAAGCAAAATTACCTCCCTCAAAGAGACAGTGACAGACTGGGTAGGAGATTTTACTGGGTACCTAGTGACCAAAAGTAACAGAGAAAGGAATTAATTTTCATCTGTGGCTAGAAATCAGCAATTACCTTATCCAGACAACTGAAATCTTTACATGTAAATGGACATGACATGAAAATGTTATTTTTATGAGCAATAAGTAAGAGTGGCATTACTGGGAGCAGATTGCAAATAAGTGTAATCTGATGGAGAAGGAAAAGGGATAACTGATGTCTTAGAGGCCTCGGACAGGTGGAACACAACTTTGGTGATTCCTTGAAATTACTCAGGGATGTTTTAGTTGTTGGTGTCAACACTTTGGCTTATAATTTGAAAATAAAATGGAATTGGTAATCTAAAAATAATTGCTGATAATGAAACAAATGATTTAAAAGAATACTTGAAGAGTTTCTCTGAATACTCAAAGAGAATCAGTTCAGATTTGCCAGGAAGGAGATCGTTTTCTCAAACAGAATAATTTAAAATAGTTGAAGGAAAAGAATAATGAGTATGGGAAGAGTCAAGGAGAAACAATATTGGATGATTGATTATTCTTGGTTTAGAAACAGCATGGAGCTATTTCCATTTCCTATGTTGCAGGAATAAGCTAAAAGTGCAGTTAATAGAAACCAAAAGGAGAACTATAGCTTTGGTATAAAACATTCTAACATAAATTATAAACTCATGTAGATGAACACAACTACTGTCAACCTACAGCCTGGAAGTGAGGCAGTGGAGGGAATAAATGCCCACTCCTACACTTCTCTCACCTTCTGGCCTTCTGCTGGTATAGCAGATTCGCAGGGCCCAGTCAAAGCCACTGGTCAGAATCCTGAAATACAGTACAGGATGGAGATGAATAAGGAGAAAACATCTGGAGGAGACTGTACAGTACCCAACAAAGGGTAATAAATCTCAAGCTCTAGATCCTGTAGAACAAGAAGCCCTTAAATGTCTGACAAGGAATTTCGAGTGATGACTTTTAGGAAACTAAATGAGATACAAGAAAATTCAGCTAGACAACATGATGAAATGAGGAAAGATACACAGGACTTGAAAGAAGAAATGTACAAGGAAATCAATGCCCTAAAAAAGAATGTAGCAGAGCTTGCTGAGCTGAAAAATTCATTCAACAAAATAAAAACCTCAACAGAGAGTTTAACCAGCAAGCTTGCAGAAGCAGAAGAGAGAACTTCTGACCTTAAAGATGGGCTGTTTGAAATAACACAAGCAGACCAAGAAAAAAAAAAAAAGAAAGAAAGAAAGAAAGAAAGAAAGAAAGAAAGAAAGAAAGAAAGAAAGAATTAAAAACATTGAAGAAAATCTAAGAGAGATATCAGACAACCTTAAGCACTCAAATATCTGAGTCATGGGTATTCCAGAAGGGGAAGAAAAAGGAAATTGGATTCAAAACATATTCAACAAAATAGTAGCAGAAAACTTCCCAGATTCAGGAAGCTCAAAGATCCCCAAATGTATTCATCCCAAAAAGGTCTTCTCCAAGACATGCTATAGTCAAATTGGCAAAACTCAAAGACAAAGAGAGAATTTTAAAAGCTGCAAAAGAGAATCATCAAATCACTGATAAGGGAGCCCCAATCAGACTAACATCAGACTTTTTATCGCAAACCCTAAAAGACAGAAAGGAATAGGATGATATATTCAAAATACTAAAAGACAGAGATTGCCAGCCAAGAATACTCTACCCCGTAAGGCTATCTTTCCAAAAT